CAATATCAATTTCAACATGTCCGGCCCCCGCCATCACAGTTTTTAAGAACGAAATTTGCTGAACCATCGTTGACAATTACGAACATTCAAAACATTTCCATAAACTTCTTTGATATAATTTTTGGCTACAGAGGCGTTTTTTTCCCTTCTTATATTTAAACAGCATTACATGCCAAATGTGCGTCTCATCGTGTGCCATCACAATGACGGATTAGAGTATACTAAACTTTACAAATTATACAAGCTACACTAACGTGACGTGATGTACGTTTTTTTGGGGGTGGTTAATGAAAATTTCCAAAATGCGACATTATTTTCTTGAAGACCTAATATCATGCGATATTTTAAACCCGAAAAAAAAATGCATTGTACATTACTTATATTGTTATTTTATCTTTTTTTTAAAGGAAAGTATAAGCTTTAAATGTCTTAAAGTTTGTAATAGTGTATAATAGATGGCAGCAACTATCAGGAAAAGTATCACTTGTGTCAATTTTGAATCGTAGAAAGCAGAGTAAGGAAATAACTCCTGTAAACTAAGTGGATTGTGATAATTATGTAATATGTAATAAAGGTAAAACCTGAAATGAAAATTTCCTAAATCCTATATAAGTCGGCATAATTTTCTTTTTTTACTATTAAAGGATACCATTAAGAGTAAATTATAGTTTTAAAAGTAAGGTGAATTTTTCAGAATTACGCTGTTATTAAAATGCTAATATCGAAGTTTTAATTGGTTATGTAATATATGTCGTCTTTGTCATTAATGCTTCATTTTTACGCTGTTACATGCTTTCGTTCTAAACTCGATGACTGACCAGTAATCAAAGGAACACTGTTGACCGTAGCAGTGAGGTCTCTGGTTCTATACAATACTCTGTCAGCCGGAACAATTTCCTCTGTCTGTCCAACAATACAGCATCCAACTTCCTCAAGACATTGTTTCATTTGTTCCGGTGAACAGGAAACGGAGAATCCTGGGATTGATTCTAGTTTGTCCAACGTACCTCCTGTGATATCTAGACCTCGGCCAGATATCATTGGTATCTAGATAAATAAACAAAATGGGTTCGGCATAGAATATTTGGTTACTTTTATGTTACACCCAGTAGCTCAGAGGTAAGCTAGAAGCCTAACAGCACTAAACTTTGGGACTTGATTATTGTAGTAGACACAATGCAGACATCCCACTGTGTATCTTTGTGTTTAGAACAAACTCCTCTCGTAATATATAATAATTAAAATACCCTATAGCCGCAACGATTGTAAGCAGTATTGCTTAGGCATCATTCAAAATTAGCAAATACCAGAAAACCCCAAAATAATAGGTATCAAAAGACATCTAACACGAAATAGCATAAGTTGGCTTAAGTATCTTGTTAGATTACGCTTCACCATGTGTCTGAATAGGTAAAGTTATAGATATCTTGTCGAGTTTTCCTATATATAATCAGGACTGACTAAATTATCATCAAACCTCGGTGTAACGTACTGAACAAACTTGGTTTATTAATTACGAATTTGTATTTATGTGTGTTGCAGAACTAATAAGGCTATCTTCCACCGTCCGTCATTTTGAACTACTGACTAGAGGGAAGTCAGCAAGTCAAATGCACCCTACCACCTATCCTGTCACCTTGACTGTCACTCTGATAACATAGCCATAGCTTAAAGCGTAGGGAAATATTTAATGGTATCACACTGATTCTAGTCCGATTCGCCAGCTCCGAAATCCAGAGCTCTACAAGTGTTTTCTTCACAATCAACAACAAAATGTAAATGCTACTATCAAGTAAGGTTACAAAGATATCATGATAATTGTTGGAATTAATGTTGATCGAGAATATCACAAGATCAAACACAGACAAATTAGTAAATTTCTAAAACTGTTATTGTTTTCTTAATGTGGCAGGGACGGGAGAATGGAGATAAATAATCATACAGTCGTAAACTTAAGCAACAAACGTCTTGTTGATAATGAAATAAGTGTACTATCGTTTGGACTGAATTTTGTTCCTATCCCGAAACAAGTACCCTACAATGACATCAGTTCTTCAACTCAAGAAGTCGTTAATACATTATATCTCACAATTGATAATGAATTGTGCTTCCAAGTTCGAGAAGCTCTAAAATCACCTACGATTGAACCTCGAAGCAACCTAACTAAACAGGAGTACTAAGCTATCAGTAATTTAAATAAAAATAGAGACACTGTTATATTAACCACCAATAAAATTAAATGTTACAATTCTCTTAAACCGACGTGACTATGAGCAAAAGACAGAAGAATTGTTAACGGGTATAATTTACCAAAGACTGTCTTCGGATCCAACTCAACGTATAGAAAAAGAAGGCTAAATAAAGAACTTTGGAACATGACAAATAAAAAGGAAATAAGCATTACACTGTACAGAAGATTATCTGTACATCATTCTGCCTTCCCACAGTTTTATGGTTTGCCAAACCTAACGTACCCATATGTATCTTACACAGTTTCGCCAATTTACAAAACATCCTAACAATAGATCCGGCTCATTCAGTCAGAAACTCAGGAGAATTCGTTAACCACATTTCTGACCAAATATTATCCAAATACGATAATATGGCTAGCCTCGACGTAGTTTCACTTTTCACCAAGATACCTACTAAAGATACCATGGAAATAATGCATAAACAATTAACTGACGACATCTCACTTACAACAAGAACTTCCATCAGCATCCCAAACATCATGATCTTACTGGACATCTGCCTCGATGCCAATTACTTCCATTGGAATGGTCGATTTTACAATATTCATGCAGCATTTTGAACACACCATTTTAACACCATATCTTCTTTAAACTCGTATATGGGTAAGATATGTTGACGATACGTCTATTTTATGGACTTTCATGCTTATCTGAACAGCCAATTTGACAGTATACATCTTCCATAGAACTTGAAGTTGATAACACTCTTCCATTCCTCAATGTTCTGGTTCACGAGGATACGAGTTTAGAAAATCTAACCACTACCGTTTATCGGAAGAAGACTCAAACAAATATATATCTAAAACAGCTGTCAAAACTGTGATTATTAAAACATTAAAATCTAAAATAATAAGTATATGCTCCTCGTTTTACCTTGACAAAGAACTCAAACATGTTAAGAAGATTTTCAGGAATAAAGGTTATTCAAGCTAACAGAAACTACTAATGAACCTAACAATCACAAAGAAAAGAAAAAACATTAATTTTTTAGATACCAGGCCTATGGGAAAACTTTATAGGATGATGAATAAACTTAACATCCTGTAGTTTTCATAAGTCCTCCTATACTACGCGATAGTCTTACGAAGGTAAATTCCCTATTTCCCAGTCCTCTCACAAAGAACTTGTGAGTGTAATAAACAATACATTAGGGAAACACGACGCCCGTTACAGGTAAGGTTCAAATAGATATTAAGAACTGTGCTACATACACATCAGCTGTAGCTTTTCACGTTCAAGAAAAGGCCATATAATAGGCCTAAAAAATCCAAAAACAATAGAAGGAGAAGAAAACACCACACGGAGAAAACTCAAAGAAGCTATTGCCATATAATCACAAGACATGGACCAACAGTGGCTAATAATCAAAACAACAGCCAACAAGTACTTAATACTGCATGGGCACCACTTATCAAAGACACAAAACATATTATTTGTTGTGGTTTCGGTGTAAAATTAAACCCAAAAGCTCGCAAATAAAAGTATATTGACCAAGAGAAAAGTCCGTATATAATTCTACACATCATCCATATTCTACTATTATTTTCAAAGCGGGTTTACATTAGATATTCTGACAAAATAGTTAATTATATTTTCAGCTGCACATTACATATTCAGATATCTAAAGCTGATCACTATAATCACCCCCTCTCACTAATCACTTGTAAAGTTTCAGAACAATTTGGCAAAAAAGCTACAACGTTGGTAAGGTATCTAAATATCAAGACTTTAATGATGTCATTTCAATCATTTTGTCTAATCAGACCTGACTGATACCATTTCAACCCTCTTGCTCAGACCTGACTGATGCCTCAGCCCTCTTGTTTAGTCAGACATGACTGATGCCGTTTCAGCCCTCTTGTTTAGTCAGACATGACTGATGCCGTTTCAGCCCTCTTGTCTAATCAAACACGACTGGTGCCATTTCAGCCCTCTTATTTAATCAGACATGACTGGTGCCATTTCAGCCCTCTTGCTCAGACCTGACTGATGCCTCAGCCCTCTTATTTAATCAGCCATGACTGGTGCCATTTCAGCCCTCTTGTCTAATCAGACATGACTGGCGCTATTTCAATCCTATTGTCTAGTCAGGCATATCTGATGCCGTTTCAATTTCTTATTTAGTCAGACCTGACTGATACAACTTTAATCCTCTTCAGAAGAGTCGCCCTGCATAATATAAATACTTCATTTCCAGAAATGACTAACGTCTTTAAAAACCTTGATTAGCACTTCCTCCTACCCAGAAGAGGTTAATGCCTTGAAGTCCCCTTAACCAGGAATAACTTGTAAAAATTTACATCCTGCTCTCTAGGTCTACCTGGCCCCTCAGTGACACAGTGGTATGTCTTTGTGTAGCTTTGTGCTTAACTTCAAACAAACAAAGGTCTACTTGATACACTTAAATCGTTTTACTCACTGCAAGGAGCTTGCAGTGAACATCTACTACTCCCATCAGCGTCAACAGTGGCTCAGCGGAAAGTCTGAAGGCTTAAAACGCTAAAAACCCTTGGTGTGCCCAAAGCAGATAGCCAATTCTCTAGCTTTGTGTTTAACAGCAACAAAACCACCAAAGTATGTATAAAAAAAAACGATTATTAACAATCCTGCCAATAACAAGAACAAAACGATGTTGTATAAATTAAAATGTACTGACAACGGTGGTGCGTTATACTTTCTCGTAACTTGTAATATATATAATAACTGAGAGAAAACTTTATCAAACACACCAGGACATACGTTGTCTCCTTTTGCTCACACATAATTTCCTTATTTTCTAGCTTCCGCCCAATGAAACATAAATATTTACTTTTTTTCACGTTTTATTGTTGTTCAAAGCTATAAATTTGTGCTGTGCTTAACGCAGGGATCTACCATTGAATGTTAGCATTATAAGCCCTCAGTCGTACGTACCGCTGAGCCTTTTTTTTTTCGTGAAATTAATACACGTGAAGTTAACATAAAGACATTTCTCTCACGACAAGAATCATAAATGAAAATATAAATGTTCTATAGCTTCCTAATTCTCTTATAGCCAGGACTGCTTAATTATATCCAAATTCTTCTAAAACTGTTTTATTCTGAACCTTTGAAACACTCTTATCCAAGGCAAACTGGTGCCAGAGATATTTCGTGGTAAGTTATCAGAACAATAGGGGGAAGATATATATATATGTCACACTTGTTTCAAATATGGCAGAATATTGATTGCGACAAAAATCCCAGAGATTAGATATAATGAATTGTTTGTAGGTAATTTTTGTACTACGTACCTTTACTACATGATAAGTAAAAGGCAATAATAAACACCGTAGTAATCAGTTACTTCGGATGGTACTTTTGAAAACTGTTATTACAAGATAACTGGATTTCTTCCATTAAAACTTCCGCACTCCATCCGCAGGTTGTTGTAATGAAAAAAATAACTTCCTTTACAAGTGTATACCGAGCTGAAACAACTGTATTCTCTGTCTCTTCGTCTGCCTGTCTGTAAGCAGCGAATTGTCATATAAACATCGAAATTCAACCTCCAAACTTGGAATACAGATTAAAAAAAAAAAACGCTCATTGTCTGGTGCCTATCTCTTAAGCAGTGTTATCTAGAGGGTCGTGTTTTCCCAGAAAGTTTCACTTTTTGTTTTCATTTGATCAAAATAGGGTTTTCTTTAGGCATGGCCTAATGGTTAGCGTGCCACACTGCAAACCCAAGGCTCCACAGTTCGCGTCCTATTGTCGCAAAAAAAAAATCGCTCTTCGCACTTTGAGACGTGGATGCGTTATAAGAGTGACGGTCAAAACCCACTATTCGATCACAGTAGCCCAAGAGTTGGCGGTGAGTGTTATTGACTGGCTGATGCCCCTCTAGTATATCAATCTTATAATTAGCTCCTGTGTAGCTGTGCCCGAATATCCAAAATAAAACAAAAGTTATCCCGGAGGTAATGGCTCAAGAGACTAAGAATACTCAACTTACGTAGAAATAGTTTAGGTCGAAAGACATCCCGTACGTTTGCTTTTACTTTTCAGATAAACTATCTACCTGTCAATTGTCTTTCGATAGATTTTTAAAAGAAAAATAAACTAATTCCTATTTTTTTATAATATATTTCATTACCAACCACCGCAACGAGTGCAGGGATTAAGCAAAAATGGGTCATCAGAATCTGCCGTCCCCCGGTGGGATAGCGGTAAGTGTAAAAGACTTACAACGCTAAAATTTGGGGTTCGATTCCCTGCGGTGAACACAACAGATATCCTAATGTAGCTTTGCTCTAAAACAAACAAACAAAATCTGCCTACAACAAGTGAAGTTAAAGTGCTGTGCACATTTTTTAAATGGTAACTTCTACTGAACGACTTTCTTAGGAGTGGAATATTTTAAAACATTTTTAGCCACATTATACTTACTACTTCAACAGAAACAATTCTTTAGCGCTAAATGTCAGTCGGATTAACATTAGTTAAAAAATAATAACCTGAAAATGAACTATGAACTAATAGTGACGTAATTTACGGTCATGATTTCAGAGTAAGCTTCTTGTCAACATAGTCATAAAGAAAATAACGTTTTTCTTATTTAAACAACATATATTTTCAGCGGTATTTATAAATAAGTCTCACCATGTCTTTGTTCAAAGGCATCTTAAGTTAAATTTGCTATACATTTTCACTGAAGTTCGTTTTGTCATTTCTGTAGTAATGTCATTGAAAAGTACACGTTAGGATAATAAGAATATTATAATGAATACGTATTCATTCGCGAAAAATAGAGTGATCAAATTGGCCGACCTTTATTTATCGATTAGAAACGCCGTATCACAGCGTCTTTAATTTCACAAATTTGGTATTTTACGTTATCCTATTTCTCTAACCTTCAATCCGCATGCAGCAAGAGCTGGAACCAGCACGTGACTGATTTTATCACCAACGCCTCCAGTGCTGTGTTTGTCGACTAATAGTTCCTTCCATTCAGCTGGCCATTCAAATTTTTTTCCCGAGTTAGCAATTTCTAGTGTAAGTATACTCGTCTCGCTGTCATTCATTCCATTCAAAAACATGGACATCAACATGGCACCTAAACAACGAGATAAAACATAATAAATGTTCTATGAAATACTCTCTTATTTGTAATATGTTTACAAAATAATAAAAAAAAACTTTCATCAAAAGTACAAAATACTGACGTCACCTTATATTTTAATGGTGAATCAGTAAACTATAAAATAAATTCGTATCCACAACCTCAACTTCCAACTCTCAAGCCAACAGCTTGCAGAACTTATTGGCAAAACTTCGGTGGTCTCCATCGTTACTTAGTTTTAAGCTGAAACATCTGTATGTACCACAAACCAGGCAGTTGAAGTGTTTAATGTTTGATCATGAACCTCTGGCGTCTTTTTTAATAAAATTCGCATGCTACGGAAGAATATCTTTACTTATTTGAACAAGATAAGCATAGCTGAATTAACGTTATACTTACCTTTAAAATACACCTAAAACAAACTAAAACTGAGGCACACTTCAGGAATATCAGAGATGTTATTGCTTATTAAAGCTAAATTTGGAAGTCTTGGTTAGTCCAGCTTGTGATATTCTTAACACTCAGAAATCCTACTGAAGTTATAGTGTTTGTGGCAACAAATTCAAATGACATCACCCGTAAACAAAATATTATAAACATAATTATTGTATTACTTTGAAGTAAATCAGCACAACATGGGATTTTCTGGTAGTTGAATATGTAAAACATATACTTTTAAGAACTATCACAAAATTTACTAGTTGGTCGTATTGTTCTTCTAGAAAAATCATTTGATGGAATTATTTCAAATAATCTTATAAGTATTGCTGACTCAATCAATGTTTAAAAAAATCCTTTTATGCGCAGTGAGACTTACCATATCATTAAACCAATCTTGTTATACGCTTGTTTGTTTGTTTTGAAGTTAAGCACAAAGTTGCACAATGGGCTATCTGTGTTCTGCCCACCACGGGTATCGAAACCCGATTTCTAGCTTTGTAAGTCCGCAGACACACCTCTATGCCACTGGGAGGCCTGTTATATGCAGTAGAGACTTAACATATCTTTAAACCAGTCCTATTATACGCAGTGGAGCCTTCATCTATCCTTAAAATAAATTCTGTTATACACAGTAAATACTTAACTCATCTTTAAACTAATTCTGTTATACGCAGTGAAGACTTAACTCAGCTTTAAACCAATACAATGCATATGCAATATGCAATGGAGACTTAACCTATCTTTAAAAAAATCATGTTATACTTTACAATTTATCGTGCTATTATGTTTAAATAGTGGAATGTATTTATAAAGGTTTAGATCGTTTGTTTGTCTGTTGTAAAGCACTAAGCTACACAATGGGTGATCTGTGTTATGCCCACACGGATTGATTTTATTTTTACGCCCAACTTATAACACCAGCGTTCTAATTATTTCTATTGTTGGCTTCTTCTCTATTATTCGATTAAAAAGGGGAAAGTCTAGTCCACTTAACGATAACAAAAACGTTTGTTCCTTCAACATTCAAATTCCATAAAACTAACATAACCAAAAGGCCAAACTTCACAATAGACGCTAAATAAGCGGTTCCCTTGCTTACAAATCTTCTATTTCTTTATAAAACACAAATCAATATTTTCAGTACTGAACTGACCAACTAACTGGTTGACAGTATTGATGTTATTTGTTGATTTTCGAACAAAGCTACTTGAGGACTATCTTCCTTGCCGTCCCTAACTTTGAAGTGATAGACTAGAGTGAAGGCAAGTAGCCAACACCACTCACCGTCAAGTCTTGGGTTACTCTAATTGAACAGTGAGACTTTATCGTCACTATTAGAATGCCACCACGGTCCCCAAATGCGGATAACGATTTTTTTTTTGGGGGGGGGTCGGGTAACGGAACTAGGAACCAGGAAACCACTGATCGACAGTCTGTCACGCTAACCAATGAGCTGCGCTTGCCCGACCAAACAGTAACATATTACTCATTAAGCGATTAACAAACTCACTAACTTGAACTCGGTAACTCACTCTAACAAGACTCAACAATTCACTACTTATTTCTAGCGTAACTTGCTTTTTTTGATATGAGTTAAATTGGTCCCTAAACTTTGAAGAGCATTCAAAATATTAAAACCATGTCTATCACGTTACATTAAACCTCCTGCCAACTAAACAACAATACAAATTTTTAGAAACGTATAGATTTAATACATAGCTAACAACAGTACAAAAGTCTAAAGTATTTGATTATACCAACTGAATGAAGTTTCATCATGTGCATGGCGACACGTGAAAATGTTATGTTATGCTGACAGAAACTTATAATCCATGCTAAACTCGACTTACCTATCTGGCTCTCCGAGATTGAGTTGTATCCATTTTCCTTTGAAACCACTGCCGCAATAAAATGCTTGATGTCTTCCTCTGTTAGAGGGTGCCCATCACGTTTCTTTTTTATTAGTTCGGTGATATTCCACATTTTACCAGGAAGTAGTTGGAACAGGACTGAAGACAGAAAAACTGAAAAGTAATGACTTGTTTGGCCCTTTATATAAATACTTTTAGATAGTTATGTGCGTGATTATATTTTTTTTCATTCCAAAGGTTGAAACTCTGATTAGACAACAATTGTTTCTAATCAGTTTCAGTCCTTTAAGTATGCATTGTTTGGAATGAAATATAACGTGATAACAGTTTCAATATTTTTCTTCAGATGGCGCAGCAGTGAAGATCTACATGTACAACCTGGGTGCCTCTAAAGTCCTGTTTTTACAATAAGGGGGCATATATTTAGGGTTAATGACAACTTGAAACTATTCTGCTAACCTGAATACGTATCTAATGGAACAGACAGCCACTCCTTTCGCAAAGCAGTAATCAAACTTCTGAATCTGTCCCGCAGGCAGTGTCTTTAATTAAAGTATTTCATTTGTATTCCGGTCGGGAGTCTGGACGGTTAATTGTTTGTTTGTTTTTAATTATGCACAAAGCTACACAAGGGCTATCTGTGCTCTGCCCACCACGGGTATCGAAACCCGGTTTCTAGCGTTGTAAGTCCGCAGACATACCGCTGTGCCACTGGGGAGCCTGGACGGTTAAAGCAGATTGAAGATGTTATTTGTTTTATGACACTGCTGGTTATGAATTATAACATTACATGGCGTATCATCATGTTGAAACACGCATGATCTTTCTTCGCATAATTTTAGCAGTGCAGAATTATACAGAACAATAAAAGTACTTGTGACTCTTCTAATTATTACCAGTGCGACAATTGTCGAAGTTGTTAACTTTAATAATATATTTGTAAACAACAATATTAATTTTAAAGTTTATTTTGTAATTAAATATAATTAAGTCTTTTTTGTTCTTTAGCTATTTAAGAATAAAATACACGTATACGTTTTTTACTTTCATTCACAGTATTACATTATTTCAATAAAATTCATGATTATATGTATCTTGAACCAAAACTATATGTGTCCTCAACAAAACATCGATTGACATAACAAATACAAATAGAAAACAAAACTACAGGCCAGCCTATTTTTCAAAGTTGTTTTTTGGAAATCTCAGAGGCGCTCATTTATATTAAAATAATCGGGTACGTTCTGCAGAATAACAGGAGGACTACCAGACTTAGAAAATACAGCATTATACACATAAAACAATAATGCTATTCTGTTTCACTGCAAAATAAAAGGTTGCGTTCTCAAGGTATTATTTCACTTGCCAGTGGAAAATATCACTCCCTATTTCGAAATTGCATGCTATACTTTACGGATATCTTTACAATGAGAAAATGTATGCGATTCCCTAGTTAATTGACCTAGTTCAATAAGTAACTAAGGCGAGAGGAACTTTATGACTCCCTTAATCGACATTCTTTACTAAGACTACATACCACAGTATGTACAGAAATCTTGAAAATGTTTATATTAAATAAAGGGAGTAGTAAACTTGTAGTATGTCCGCATACGGGCAGCACCATAGATGCACTACTGATATATTTGAAATTAAGTATTAATACAATTAGTATATTTTACATATAATAACTGTACATTTAATTCATTTTGTCTCAGAAGGATAAGCCAAAAATATGATACCTATGACCCGTTATTCAGATGAACTGTATAATAAGTACTTTTTATCTTAATTTCATATTTTATAAGTTACGGTTTGAACGCCGAAAGCTAACGAAACATTAGAAACCAGTAGCCCTTGCTTTTGTAATGAAAATCACGTAAACTGCAGACTTTTTCGTATTCCTTTTAGTTTGTTAATAATAACGGGTGTGGTTTATGTGATTTCATCACAAAAGTAGGCCTATTGGTTTTCGATTATAGGTCAGCTTTTGGCGTTGAAACGGTAATTTTTAGGTCTTATACAACACACTAATAAAAAGATAGATAGCTTTTCAAATAACTTGTTACCCCATCGTCCAGCTCCAACTGACACACTTCTAATTTGGAATCCGAAACAGACAAAAAGAGGAATGTGGAAAACGACATTTGCTGTATACATGATTTTTCATTTCTGAAAAAAAAAGCTAATTTTCTTCTCTGGTGTTTAATACAATTTTCTTATCATCAAATGGAACTGGAAGCTGTAATTATATTGAAATTATCAAAGAAATTATTTGGTTATTCTTTTCTCTGAGCAACGTGATCGAGCTTGGTTATACCTTGCTTATACTCTTATATTACTGTTATTTGTAACATTGTCAGTATGGATGCCTAATAAAAGAGGAATATCTCAGAAGTACCTCCATCAATATACTTTTATGTAAAACACCAGATTTTATACAATATTTCTTAAGTACTAAATGCCCAAAACGTGCATAAAATACACTTATTTGAATTACAGCAAAAACCCGATCTCATCTCACTAGTGTTACTGACCTCTTCACCTTCAATTTTTAGCATAATTTCAAGCTTCATACTGTCACAGGTGTAAAATACGGTGAAACCCCGATTTTACGCGCCCCGATTTAACGCGATAGGTCATTAACTCTTTCGACACGGGCTCGGTCCCAGGGACCGACCTCATAACCATAACTGCAAAATAAAAGGTTGCGTTCTCAAGGTATTATTTCACTTGCCAGTGGAAAATATCAGTCTCTATTTCGAAATTGCATGCTATACTTTACGGATATCTTTGCAATGAGAAAATGTATGCGATTCCCTACTTAATTGACCTAGTTCAATAAGTAACTAGAAGTTGTTTCAAAATGTAACAGTTACAAGACACATTTACAAGTATTTAAATAAGAATCACACAATAACTTCCCAAACTGTTGGGCATATAATAATATGGTGCTACTAAAAAATTTATGTACACTGAGTGGTCACAAGTTCAGGAAACACGGTATGTAATAAAATACGATTATCTTAAATACCGTATACTAATTTAGAAAAACTATATCTTATAAATAGTACTGTCTTCTGATGCTTGATCATCTTTTGTTCTAACAGTTTATATGCAATAATTTTCCTTCTATTAATCGCAAACATATAATTGGTCCAAGGTCATTACAAGTTATTCATCAACTCTATGCTTCTAGAGGGTGTCATCCTTCAACATATCCTTATGAAAAACTCTTGATATCTATGATTTTTTGGTATAACTTAAGAACATTTGCGCTCTTTTGAAAACGAGATGCAAATGCAATAAATTATGGAAACAAATTAATAAGTTCAGGAGGGATCTGTTTTAATAGCTTTCTTTAGAAGTTGTTTCAAAATGTAACAGTTACAAGACACATTTACAAGTATTTAAATAAGAATCACACAATAACTTCCCAAACTGTTGGGCATATAATAATATGGTGCTACTAAAAAATTTATGTACACTGAGTGGTCACAAGTAAATAGACACCTAATTTTTCGTCATTTAACTGATTCATGCTAACTAATTTGTGTTCACAGAGCACTATATAAATT